AGAGCCAGATATAAAATGTGAAGTTGTTCTCACACCGTGTTGAATTTTGGTTACTGTACCATGTTTGGAGCATCACTCTCATTATCAATCTTAGATATTTACACTACATACAACTATAAATACCATCCCATAGAGCTACATACAGTAGCAGATGCTCTTATCCACTCTGAATTACTACTGTCAGTAAAGTGAGATCTAAATGATTTAAGCAACATTTTAGCCAAACAAAACAAGAACGGATGCAGGTAAATACAGTGTGGTCCACCAAAGATGGTGCCCCTTCCCAACATTAGACACAGTGTGACATACCTTCACAGTTTCTAATGCCAACAGCAGTTATTGGAGACCAAAAGACAGTTAAGGTGAGTGGACTTACATTTATCAGGTAGCCATAAAATTATTTCTACTTTTGCTCTATATGTGCTGGGTGTAAGTCCTCAGGAACAGCCCTGGGCTGTGAAGCAACCCTAGTGTAGTGGCCAATGTGAGTACAACTTCTGCAATCATCATGTGACACACACTGGCCCAGAAAGCAGCCATCTTGTAAGTCGGCATATTGGTCTCCTTAATACATCAAAGATGTTATTGTGCAATTGTTAGCTAACACATTCACCATTTTGAAATGGATTTATTTATTTATTTATTTATGCTGCTCCTAAGTGGCCAAAATGAGTTAATGCAGCATTAAAGTTTACAAGGTTAATGAAGAACTAAGAGCATTATCTTGCAAAAAACGCACGTGCTGGAGCATGGGTAGTGTGTCTGTGTTTCCTAATTTCCTACCTGTGCAATTACTGTTTTCATGACATGCGCATCATGTTGCCTTTTTACCAAGCAGCAGTCTGTGAGTCTGTGGACTTCACACTGACAGGTGTGTCTGGATGAAAATGGTGTGGTTCCAGGTAAACTTTGGGTGCAGTGGTAATATGAGGGTGCACAAAGTGACTGCACAACTGACCAGCAAAAACCAGGTCTGTGGTCAACAGTCAAATCATCATTGCTAGTTAATGGGCACTTTGACCGTGTTGTAATGTGCACCTGTCTAGGTGCGTGCTCAATGCTCATGCGCTGTGCTTGTTATACCCTGGGATGCGCTGCGCAGGACATGCAAAACTTAAAAAATAAAAGATGATATATGTTCACTGGGTGTTGTGCACATCAATATATATGTATTTATAATGAATACCATTTTGATTAGTGATCCTGTGCTTTCACCTCGTGCATGAGCACATCTGTTTCCTCAGTGAAAAAAATCTTACTGAGATCCAAACTGGCAAGTCTGCCAGCATGATAGCAATTCGCCAAACGTTCAAACTGTTCAAACACACTGACTGGATAATTTCATGTTATGCACAGTCCTTTTGCTATTTACACGGGCGCTTGAACAGTTTTTCCTCATCCTCAAATTACCGAAATGAACATGGACACACCCAAACTCCACTTGTGCCAATACATCTCGCTCAGACGCAGTGGATCCTCAAAATAAGGCACTAAATGCTTTTGTTTAATCATTTTTTCTTTTAGAATTATTTTGGCTGATTTGGATAGTACAGACAAAGATGTTACAAACAGTTCATTTCCATTACAAAAACACAAATGAATACTTCTCTGTTTCTTTATCAATGGATTTTGACCAGCTATAGGCTGTATGTCCCTTTTCCAATAAGCTGACCAGGTGGTATAGAGAAGTAGTGATATAAAAGAAAAAAAATCGCAAGGCAGTGACGCCCAGTAGAACAGAAGCATCCTCTCTCTGTAGACACATTCAAAACAATCAGCTCAGTCAGTGATAACACAGAGACTTTGACACAAACACACAGATAATTTCCCAAACAACAGTTATGTAATGCAAATGCAAAACAGCTGGCAATTTATCAGTAAAGCTGTTACTACTATTTGCTTGTATTTGCTTGCTACTGTTTGTATGCGTACTCCTGTGTTGACTCAGTCAGTGTATGTTAGCTGGTGTATATATTTGTATGTGTGTGTGTGTGTGTGTGTACACTGCTTTAAGAATGCTCAATAACACTGCCCTGCCAAATATCAGTTATGTAAATATCAGTTGCATTGTTTTCTTCACATCTGGTCCTGTGAACTGCTACCTCTTCACCTCCCTGTATCCCATCATGCTGGGCTTTTTCTCTCCTTCCTCTGAGTCTCTCTCTTCCACCCTTCCTTCTTCAAGAGTCTCTACATTCTTCACACCTTCCTCCGGTTCATTATTTTGCACAGTATCTTTCTTCATTTATCCCTCTTCTTTTTGCTGTCTTGTGCACACAATTTTTATAATTTTGCACACACATAGAGACCCTATCTTTTTCACACTCTCTACCTCTCGCTCTCTGTTGCTCGGGGGTGCAGTCTGTGCTGACAGACTGTTCCTCCAGAATTGATTTCTACCCAGAATGCAATAAAAGACACTGAAGAAAGAAATGGAACAACTGAACAACAGCTTGTCAGTGCTGCTGATGATGATGGTGTGTGTGTGTGTGTGTGTGTGTGATTATGCAAAATCACCAACATGCAGGGTTGAGTTACCTGTCTGATGTGTTTCCTGGCCATCACTACTTTTTAAAGCTCCATCCCTTTTTTCACTTTGGTATCTTTGTGTTTACTTCCTTCCTTTCTTTCTTTTCTCTCATAACCAACACACAACAATTTATAATAAAAAACAGAATTTCTTTGTTCATTGTCATTTATATCTGCTGCACTACTTTTCTATATTAAGGGTGATCATTTTTATTATCCACATTATTCTGTAAGCTAAACTGTGCTTTGTTGCTGCTACAACAGTCCCATGGGGATGATTGCATCTTCATTTAATCTAATCTAATTATTTGAAGCCATGGCATTATGTTGAAATGAAACACAAAGTATGTTTAGAATGAGTGTTACAAACTTTGATTAAAGGAAAACGCTTCAGACTCTAGCTTTTCACTGACAAGCTGAGTTGCCCTAGTGTTGCCCTGACACTGAAGTTGTGAATGATGAGGTGAAGTTTTATCATAGCTGCTGTCTGTTAAAGAGCAGCTCAACTTCTTGGGAAATGTGCAGATGTTTCTCTTGTAAAAACTTGTTTTTGCCTGAGAACACTGAGGTTTGTTTGGGTGTTTTGTCAGGCAGAATTAAAGTTGTTGGCGTACATCTTATTTTTGCATAGAGACTGAAAACCAGGAGGAAATCATCTGATTTAAGTTCCAGACAATATTTTTGGCTAGGCATAGTGACATTAGAGATGTTCTACTGGTTGCCTGGCAACTTCATGTTTACAAAGGACTCCAAGAAATCACTATGCCTGACCAGTCCTGCACATAACCCCCTGTAAACCCACCACCTGTCAGATTTACCATTAATTTTGTACATACTAAACAAATACACAACTTGCGTTGCAGGATGCACAGAATCCGGCTAGTTGTCAGCCTGTTTCCAGTCTTTATGTTAAGATAACAAAGGTTTCCATTAACCTCAGCACAGGCAATATTTTTGCTTTAAGTTGCTACACAGCAGCATTCAGATGTTTCATATGCATGATGTAAATCAACACAGTTAGCTCCCCACTTAATTGGTGTCTCATGAGTGATAACGTTTCACATTTTTTTAGAGCAAAAGCAAAAGCAGAGGGAGGCATATCAGATTTACCGCTCCTATTTTCATGCAAACAAGATTCACTAATCCATAGGGGAATTAATGTAAATTAGAGATTTCCCTCTGAGCCACACCACAATGCATTCATTAAAGGATCTGCATGGAAAGATCATTCTCTAGAATCATATTAACATTAGCATATCAATGAGATGTTGCCTTTGGAAAGTGTTAATTTTTGTACTCATAAATGATTAAAACAGAGGGGAGTCCTTAAACTCACTTAATCTTCTTATTTGATCTAAAAAGACATTTCTTTGTACATTTTAAGGAGCCACTCCTTGCACCCATACTTTTTGATGATTAATTCAAACAGGGGAGGCAGATTAAACATTTTAAAGTATGCAAGAAGGGCAGAAGAGGAATGAGATAAAAGTGTCAGGAACAGGATGAGCTGAGAGAGAGAGAGAGAGTGAAACAGATGGGGAAACTGAAAGATTGCTGCTTCAGTTTCTCCAGTCTGTTAGTTCTGTGTCTGTGTAGGCGTTCCCCTGGGAAATGGAGGATATAACCCTCTAAAGTCACCTCGTTTCATACAGGGTCAAAATCTTTTTGATCACAGGTGACTGGGGATAAAGGTGCAACAGGCAGGTGAGAAAAAATAAAGCAAGGATAATAGTGAGGACAGAAGAACTGAGGATGAGTGACAGAAGATGAGGC